CCTGGTGGCTGCCAGCTCCAGGCCCTTAAAGTGGCAGGTACACACAGTGCCCTGCCACAGGCCCCATTCACCATGACTGCTGGGTCATGGGACAGTCAGAGCCTGATGGATCCTCCGGGGATGCGGGTAGGCAGCTCCTGCTACTGCGTGCACTGCGGGGAGCCAAGGGGGGATGGGGGGAGTTCTACCCACCCCTCGGCTCCTCTGCACCGCACCCCTGGACAAGCCACTGGGCTCCAATTGTCCCACGACTCGCCTGGCCGGGCTGGGTCATGGGACAATTGGAGCTCAGTGGCGCCACTTCAAAAGTGGTGTGGTGCAGCACCATGTGCCTCGCTGCCCTGCCTGCCCAGTGGCGGGACGCACATGGCAGCACCCACTGCTTTCAAAGCAGTGGCAGCATGGAGGCACAGAATCCTCTGGCCTGGTGGTGCAGCTGAGGCACCACTCCAGCCCCCAGCTCTGGGCCCCGCTCCGGGCAGTGCACACCTGGGGTCAGGAGCCACCCGGGGTCAGGGCTGGGACTGCTCCGGCCAGGGCCGGGAGGCAGCCAAGGCCAGCCAGCGTGGCAACAGCCAGCGCGGGGCCGGGCAATGCCACTCCCCCGTGTCCTTTCCCCTTCCCCACAAACTTTTCCGGGGGTGGGGGGGTGAGCACTTGCACATTCAGCCCCTACCTCCCCCCCCCATTTTTTTTTTCTTCCTCCACCGATGCCGCTCCCCATCCCTGCCCTGCCCCAAGCCTTGCACAGGCTGATATGTCCCAGGCCCTGCACACCCCTAGGGACAGCTCTATTAGCAGCACTTTGCTAATTTAAACTTTTCTATGTTAATCCATCACACCCTAGGGAAATACAGGAGTTCACAAACAAGAAAACTGGAATTAAATATATAAACCAGTAGTTTTCAGTGACAGATGCAGCATCTAAAATAACAATGTGAAACTGACCCAATTTCATGTTCCCTGTCTCTTTGTTGATTTTTTTCCCCGTTTATCTGTATACAATACCTTGTAAGTAACCTTAAAATACAAAGGTACTGGAAGGAGATAGTCATATCAAAAGTAACTGAGGTCTATATAAGCTTTTTCGTATAATAACAGAACACTGATGCTTTTTCATACAAGAAGTGGAGAACTTGGAAAGTCATTGGATATATAAAGACACCAAAGAGGATAGCAGAGGTAAGAAGATGCATACAAGTATGCCATTCTGCTAATATAACCAGTGTGTGATTAAATATAAATAAATAGGTAGAACAGATGGCCTTATTTCTAGGGCCTTGTATACATTGTAAATCTGCTGTAGCCATTATGGAAAGAGAAGCATCCACATTAACTGTTCTAAGGCTTTATGGAACATTTACCATGGCCTAATCTTGGTTACAATTTTAGACCTTCTACTGAATATAATAAAAGTATGCTAACCGTCACTTCCAAATCCATGAAAGGGTTCACTTGCCTGAGAATGGCTCAAGAGACTCCCTTCATAGGAGATGGTTTTCATATTAGCTGTAGGGTGCTATGGTTTCCTGTTTGAAGTTTTCATAGCTTTGCTAGCAGGTACTCTCTCTGTATCAGGGACTAGATTTTTTTTTTTTTTTTTTTTACAGTATTTCACATTTTCACTATACGAAAAATACACAAAATAATCAGATGTCAATATGTCTTAATACAATGTTAACTTGTATGAAGCTTCCCAACCCAAATATCACTTGGCTTCTGTCTATCTCTGATTAACTATAAGGTTTTTCCCTAGGGAAAAATTTGAGTGTGTTTAAAAAAAAGTTTTTAAAGATCATCAAACCACTTTTTGTATAAAAGGTATCTCTTCTGCATTGTGATACTCATTTACAGTCAATAACATCTCAAATTATTTTTATATACTCTGTTCTTCAGATTCTTGTTTATCACAGATATTTAGATCATATCCTAAATTCATCATTACCTTACAAAAGGATCAAAGAGAAAGAGTGGAGAAGGAGCAAGGCATAATTAGACTGGTAACTTTGGCAAGATAAATTATAGATTAAAACTGTTACACTTAATGTAAAGTGGAAAAGTTTAGAAAGTTCATTTTTAAACTGCCATGGTATTGCTTTCTACCTTTAAATACCTGGCACTAGTTTTAATTGTACTTGTGTGTTTAAACGTGTAAAAATTCATTACTCTTTACAAAACAATCCAGAGTTGTATTCTAAAGTGCATTAGCAGAATTAATTGAAGCACACAACTCTGAAAACAGTACATGAAATCGAAGATAATTTATTTTTCAATGTGAGGGTTAGCAAATCAAAACTTAGGGGAAATGCCAACTTTAATGTTTTATTGTAACTGGCAGGATATTTTGTACCCCTAGAATACCAGCCACTTACTAAATATATTATCTATCAAATTTCAAAACACCTTATTGTAGAGATGGGTTAAAACAACTTACCTAAGGGATACTCTGCATTTTTTGTTAAAAGATGCATTTGTTATTTATAATCGCAAAACTGGCAACATGACTGTTACCCATATGTCCTATTAGAGGAGGATTTATCTTTAGTCCATTCAGATATACACTAGCTATATAAACTTAATGATAGCTAAGATATTTTGGTGTAGAGTGGTAATTGCACAATTGAAAGTTTAATTAGGTTAAATGATTTACTTGTGTTATGCAAAATCTCAAAAGGAAACTGATACATATTGGTAATGTGTGCATTAGAAGGAGTCCTCAGACTTAGCTGTTTTAATAGGCAATGAAATCCTGTTCCTAAGGTCCACGTGAGTAGAGTCGTCTTAAAAAATCTGCATGCGCAGAAAACGTTGTCCAAATTAGAACTGTATACAGAATGAAGATCTCCATCTTAATAGTTCTAGTAGTAAAGTTAGTTGTCTCCATTTAGTGCTCCCTCAGCTGTCAACCTACAACCATGTGTCATTTACATGCAAACCTATTCCCTACTTTTGAAAGACTTTTTAGTCTGTTCCTTCAAACCTAAAGCTCCTTTACAATGTGTGCAAAATACATAACTCTTAATAGGAACTGGCTTTTGAAAAGTAAGATTTAATCCACAGAGCCTACAAAGGCTGATTGCTGATTGAATTTCGCTGCATTTGAATTGTACCCTTAGGCATATGCACTGATTTCTTCTTCTACACACTCTGAAAAAAGGTGCACGGCTTGGTTAACATCAAAGTATTTGTTCTGCAGGATCAATTCCATCTCACTTATTTTCTGTTTCTCCAGCTTCCTTATCCGTTCCAGAATCTCTTTTCCTTTCTCCTACAAAAAACAAAAATCTGTATTACAAATACAATAGGCAGAAAAGGGAAAGTAAGGGAATGCACTGTTTGACCATTTTAATCTTCTTTCTGCATAGATTCTTACGCTTTGTCTGTAGCAACAGTGCACAGGCAATGCTGTCTAGTTTGTCCAGATTACTTGGTGTTCTCATTCAGATGCTATGTTCTCATTCAGGTCCT